CCCGCAGCCAATCACGGTGCAGGCGGCAAATTCTCAGCCTGCCGGCACCATCGACAATGCTGGCCCCGCCCGGCGGACCGTCTAGCTTACGACAATCTTGCAACCCCCTCACTAGCCTGGGCTGCCCATCGCTGCCTCAGAGCCTGGGGCACATAGCGAAATCGGGGGGACGTGGGGCTTGACGGACGCACGCTCAGAAAAACATACGTGCAAGGGCCCATTTCACAGGATCCACCCCTGCTAGGAGTTTGCCCCAGAAAGGCGCTACCAGGGCGGACCGTCTAGCTTACGACAATCTTGCAACCCCCTCACTAGCCTGGGCTGCCCATCGCTGCCTCAGAGCCTGGGGCACATAGCGAAATCGGGGGGACGTGGGGCTTGACGGACGCACGCTCAGAAAAACATACGTGCAAGGGCCCATTTCACAGGATCCACCCCTGCTAGGAGTTTGCCCCAGAAAGGCGCTACCAGGGAAGGGTTCTGCCTGGGGTGGGGTGTAAATTCAGCCTTCCCATTGGGGCCCAGTCAGGCCCGGTCTCTTGCAGGTATAGTTAAAATCCACGTAAAGTCAGAGCAGCCGTCTGTGTTGCTGGGACTCGTTACAGGCAAGTATGCAGTACATACCAGAGGTGAATGCACAAACGAGTACACAGCTTTCAGCTGTGGCACTGCTATACATGGACAGGGAACATGCCTGTCCTAAAGAGGGTGACCCGTTTGCTGGGTTGGTTTTGTTACACACACGGGTGCATTGTAGATGTACTACAGTGCAGACTGGACAGTAACAGGCACGCTCTTGCTGTCTTGTCCAACACCAACCACATTGTTGCTAATAAAACAGACCTAACAAACCATCACTTGTTCGTATCCATGGCTTGCATGTTACAAGCAACTCCGAAGGGTCAGGAACAGTGTCCTTAAGTTCTAGTGACCGGTTATCTTCTCAAAAGAGCCTTTTTAGAGAGGTGTCTGTACCACACCAATCTGTAAACCCCTTTCCAGCCGCAAGTGACGTGCACGTAAAGCCAGGGCACGGGAAGCGAGGTGCGTGCTGATTGCACACAAGAGGGACGGTCAGAGCCATGTGTTCCCCCTGCAACCAATCACAGTGCAGCTACGGTGCAATCGGCAGCCCTGGCAAATTCTAGGCACGCCAGCACAGTCAACAAAACTATCCTATCCCGGGAGACCGTCTTGGTTACGACAATCGTGTGTGCATAAAAGAGGAGAAACCAAGGGAGGAAGCATTGCTCCCATTCCATCAAGTACTCTGCCAGGAGCAAGAATCCCAGACCTCAGATTAGCTCACATTTGTTCCAGTGGTAACTAGCATTAGCATCATTTTATAGCACAAAAACACTGTACTAGGACCAGGGGAGCTGACAGCCACACTGGGCCCCAGAAGGGGCGGGGCCTCTGGAGGAAGGGGCGGGGCCAGGCAATCAGCCTACAGAACCACCAGGAGCATGCCACACCAACAGAGCCCTGCGGATCTCCCCGGAGGTCAAGCTGCAGCTTGTTTTGTGGATACGGATGTGGACAGGGATACTAATTTTGTATCCACGCAGGGCTCTACAAGACGCCCCTTCAGCCCTCAGAGCCACTCGGAGCATGCTGTGCAGCACTCCGGTGGGGATTTAAAGGGTCCGGGGCTCCAGATACTGCCACTACAGGCAGGGCCGACTTACCCATTAGGCACAGTCGGCACAGTGCCTAGGGCCCACGATACTTTTAGGGGCCCACGAAAATGTTTTAATTTCTTTTAAAATCAGAAGAAAAAAATGAACTTTAGGGTTGAAGAAAATGTTTTAATTTTTTTCTCACATCAGACAAAAAAAGAAACTTTTAGGGCCCATGAAAATCTATTAAATTTTGCCTAAAACAGAAAAAAAAAGTGTTGAAGTATTTAAAGTTATATCAAAAATAATTTTTCATATTTTTTTTATGGAGGAAGGGGCCCAAGAAGGAAAAAGTGCCTAGGGCCCACGAAAGTCATAATGTGCCCCTGACTACAGGAGCCCAGGTCCCGGAGCAGTTGCCCTTCGTCCCATCGGCAGGCCCGGCTAAGGCCTTTCTGGAAATACAGGCCTTGATTCAGCAAAGAGATAAGCACGTACTTAACTCCTATGGACACTTGAGTACATGCTCAGACACTTTGCTGAATAGGCACAGAATTAGGCAGGGGCTTACAATTATGCAAGTGATTTGCTGAATCAGGGATGTGAAAAGGAAACTTTCTAAAAAGTGATGGAGGCCTTTGGAAGCTGCATCCTATTGCACAGCGTTGCCATTTCGGTTCCTACATCACACAGGAGCTTTTTAAAGTTTCCTGCCCAAACCACAGGTCCCCCCGCAAAGAGTTTATACTCTAAACAACCGTCCTTAGGAGAGGGCGTGATACAACGTACAAAGAGCATGACTGACTGTTGCAAGCAGGCACCAGGACCTTATCTTGGAGCCAGGGCCGGCTTGAGCCATTCATGCGCCCCGGGCAGCGGGCGCGCGACGCATGTGTGGCTCCGCCCCCGGGCGCACGGCGCACCTTCCAGCTGCAATCGGGCATGCAGTGCCTGATTGCAGCTCTAAGGGGTGCCGCAGGTCCAGTGCCGGGGACTGCACGGCACCTGATGGCAGCTCAAAGGGGCACTGCTCGGCCCCAGGTGCATGGTGCCCCTTACAGCTGCCATCAGGTGCCCCCCATAGGTTGGCTCCCAGGGCAGCTGCCCGGCTAGCCCCCCCCCCTTAATCCAGCCCTGTTTGGAGCACCCCAGGGCTCTTTACAAACGCTATATAAGTAATACTTCCTCTGCCACGGGAATTCAGTCACTGCTGGGGTGAGATGAAGCAACTGTTTAACAGCACAGAACACCACTGAAGAACGGGACCCGACTGGATTTTGGCCAGGAATCGGATATTAAAACCAACACCGCCAGGCTTGCTAAAAGTTTCAGCTTCAGGCTTTCTCCGAAAGACACGCCTTGGCAGACATGAATCAAAACGGCGCTTCTGACTTTCGTTGGGGAGGGAAGAGCAGTGAGCCTGCTGCTGTGGGAATGAGAACTTTTATGGTGGTTTTTATCGCTATAGACATGCAAATACTTACACTGCCGTTGCCGTTCTTCCCAAAGGGGGAGTTGAATATTTTGGGGGATCATTTCTTCAAATTGTTCTGTAAAGAAGGAGGCAATTAATGACAAGAATCTCTTACAGCAACACTGCAGTCACAATCAGGGCAGCTTTCCAGGTGACCGTCACTCTTCCCCACTGTCATCAGGGTATAAAGCAACACAGGGAGGGCAAGAACTTGTCTTTTCAGTCTGTTTGTACAGCGCCTGGCACAATGGGGTTCTACGCCACGAATGAGCTTCCTAGGTGCACATGAATTATTCTGCAATCTGATTGGCTGTTAGCTCACCCCGCACTGGGCGGATGGATCGGGCAGTACTTCGTGTTTGCACAAGGAGTTACCTACGTGGTCCAAGAATGGCGATTCTGCCTGGCCCAGGGCCTGCAAATCCAATTAAAGAATCAGGACCTTCGTTTTCCAGGCTCTGTCTCTATTTACATACTGTTTAATGCAGCAGGCACAAAGTAAGATGATGCCGAGACGAGCTGATCTCCGTTAATTAGAGCAAAGGTCCCAGCACAGACGAGTAATGAACTAACGAGACAGTTGTCCTCTGGCAAATGAAAATAAAATAGCCGCCCCTCCGAATTCATTGTTTCCACAATACATTGGGATGATCCCTTCCCCCTCCCTCTCAGAGTTGATTCAAGTTCTTTGAGATCACTGTGGGATTGCTCCCCCCCCCCACCTCCGGGGGCTCACAAATGGAGACTGTGAAGCAGCGTCTGCTGGCCCATGCTGCAAGGGACTGGGGTGTAGGTGGTATGGCCTAGTGGTCACAGCCTGGGGGAGAACTGCACGCACGGGACAGGAGTCGCCAGGATAGATTGAGAGGAATCGCAAGGCCAGGTCCTGTAAAACAGTCAGTCAGTCAGGCTGGGATGAGGGACTGGAGATCAGGAGACAAGGCAAACCTGACATCACAGGAGCCCCCAGACTGTGCGGTCACCCAGGCAGCTCCCTGGGGCAACCCTTGGGGTTAAGTAGGGTCACTCGACCAGTCAGAAGGCTGCAGGGGACTGTCGCTGAGGGTATTGGGGCGGTACTTCCTGCGCATTTCCATGGAGAGCCGCGGACAGCGGAGGGGATACCCATGCGAGGCTCAGGCCTCGGCGATGGTCCAACCCAGGAGTGGCTCTGGGGGTGTCGGGTAGAGCGCCGTAGCGTGGAGGCTCCGGGGCACCCAAAGTGAGGTCCTTGGGGGAGACGACTCTGGAGAGCAGGGACGGCTCCCCATTCTCGTTGGCCGTAGCCCAAGTGGGTGCGGAGCTGGGAGGGGATGTTGGGGGTGAGGAGCAGTGGAGTGGGAGGGCCCAGAGAGGGGGGGGGGGGCGCGGCGCGGCGCTCTGTGCCCCCGTCCCACAGTCCTCAGGCAGCAGCCGGCCTGTGCCCGCACAACTTCCACCGTGGCCGTGACCCCTCCGTACCAGAGCCGGGAGCCCCCCAGAGCCGCGTGAGGCAGGCAAGGGCTCCCAGGAGTGAGACGGATGGGGAGGAGCCTCCCCCCTTCTTTGGGACAGCGGGATCTGTGTCTCGGAAGCCCCAGCCAACGTGGCCGGAGATGCGGAGCCCAGTGTACACGGGGGGGGGACAGACCCCTCAGGAAACGGGGAACGGTCCAGTGGGAGGCGCCTCAGCCAGCCGCTTTGCCTTTTCCAGACCTGCCCCCTCACACTCTGAGGGGACACGGGTGTCTCCGAGGCGCTGGAGCCCGCTCCGACATCCATCACCACAGGGAAAGGACCGGGGCTGACCTCCTGGCTCGTCGCATAATCTGGCAAGCAAAGCCCTTGGGAAGGACAGCTGAGTCTCCGTTAAACCGAAACCACGACGCGACTCAAGCGGGGGAGGGGAGAGCTCAGTACCTGAGAAGAGGCAGGAAGCCGCAGCCCAGCAAACACCAACGTTGACTCGAGGTGCAGGCGGTTGAGAAGGACGCAAGCGACAGAGGGTCCGCACATCCCGCTAGGCCCCAGGTGCTGCTTTGTGCCGCTCGGCCGAGATGGCGCAGGCCTGGGCACACTCCAGGAAGGGCTGTTCATGCGCCTCATGTCGTTTCGTTCCTACCTAGCCCCGATCCTGCAAAGTCGGGTGCAGGTGCTGGGGTGTATGCACTGTATAAACAGTTCCTTTGCCGAGTGTCTCTGTGGAAAGTTAAGCCAGTGTCTAAGGCCGTGTCTACACGAAAAGGAAGAGAACTCCTCTTCCTGCTACGTCACTGGAGCTGCGCACCATAAGCCAAGCTGCCGGGTCTGGAATAGGCCTAGTCTAAGTGTATGCAAAATTGAGGACTTAGTCTCTAAGAGGGGCATTGCCTTCCTTTTCCAAAACACGACTATGATAAAAAAACTGACCCCAGTTTTATTAATTTGTCAAAGTTTTTATGTTTTGCAGCTGGTTTAGAAACATGTTTCAGAACAGCCTCCAGTTAAGTGTTAGGGATAATTAGCCGCACATGGAAAACACGTTAGAGCCCTAATATTTGGGTTGTTTTTTATTATAAAAAAAGACTATTCCTCTCTACTTATTTTCCACTGGATGAGGCCTGACTGCAGAAAACGGTACTCATCTTTTAGAATTTCCTGAAGTAAAGTTTTGGCCTTGATCGAGAACAACTTACAATAAATGAATGACCAAAGTCCTTCCTTTTAAATTCAAATATGTAGCCAGGGAGATTTTTCTATTCTCATGCGTTCAAAATTATTCCAACCCCCCCTCCCCCAAAACTGGTGCTAATTGTGGCTAGCAAATTAGCAAGTAGAAGAATTGTTCTAAAAGGAAATATTTGATCTCATGCATGAAGGTCAAGCTAAAATTGGAGCTTGCTTCAGTGGAATGTTTTTGCATCGCTTTAAACCCTGCGCATAAGGACGGAGGGAAAAGAATCGGAGTCTGTAATTGAAGCTGGGCAGTGTTTTGAGGAGTGCACAGTGCGATTAGAATTTGAGGAATGCTAAGAAACCCTTTGCGTCGTACAGAGCAGAAATCCCGACCATCATATTTCTATCATCTAAACTCTGATCTGTAGGATATTCCTAAGTAAGGTGGGGAGGGTTTTTTGGCGGCATATAACTGCTTTGTCACTGAGAATAGGAGAACGTACGTTATCTGACTTTTGGAAGGGGAGGAGAGGGCAGGTGTTTGAAACAGGCAGATCTGGATTTAAAGCCCCTTCTAGCCAATGTAAAGTTAACTCCCATTTTACTGACACTGCCTAAGATTCCCCCTGCTCCGCCTCCCCCCCCATAGCCCTAGGCTATGTCTACACTACCAGCTTATTTCAAAATCGTCATTTCAAAAGAAGCTGATTCCTCTTGGCAAGCAGGAGAGATTATTTCGAAATAGCGGACGTGGGCGCGTGGACGCTCACCTTGCTATTTCGAAAACGGGAGTGATTTGGAAGGAGCGCCCCAGGCAGACATGCCCCTGGGAGGAACACTTGGGAACCCGACTAACTTGGCATTTTGCTAGAAGAATCATTGTTCTCGAGGAGCGGGGAGGCCCCGGGCCCTGCACCCCTCTCTGCAGCCAGACGGGATCTCAGCCGGCAGGGACACTGCGTAGCGCAGACTCGTCAGCATGGGAACGAGAAGCAGCCAGGACCATCCATCTTGGGCAAAGGAGGCCCAGAGCCAGGGCCCTGACCCCCTTCCCGGTACCCGAAGCCAGCAAAGCTAACCCATCTCAGCCCTGCAGCCAGCCTCCTCACTGGCCTTTTGTCCTGCTTCTCAGGACCCCCTCACCTGGTCACCCCCTCCCTGGCTCAGGTTACAAAGGACATCAGCTGTTGTGTAGGTGGGGAGGCTGTCACCCCGAAATTCCCATCCTGGTAGTGGTGCGGAACCTAGGGAAACTGAGGCACGCCCCCAGGGTTACTCCAGGACAGTAGACCTCACCTGCAACAGAACCAGGGGAATACAATCCACACTTGCTGCCAGTCACAAAGGTTTATTTGCACTGAAACTGTTCCAGTCATTCCAGCTGCCCTTGCACACGGAGAAACGAAAACGAGAGAAGGAGCAGCAATCTGTCCCGGGGAACACCTCTGCCTGTTGGCAAAGCTGGGCTAGCCTGGTAGTCTGGAGATTTGCAAAGCCTCATCCCCATCTAGTGGTGACTCGTCAGAGCGCACCGAGTCGGGCTCAGACAGACCCAGGCCTGAAGCGGCGAAGGCAGGACATGCCTCTACCACGCTCTCCGGACAGTCGGCCCTCTGGCCAGGGTCTTGAATGGTGCCCATCACCATGGCGACCACGGGCCTTCCTGAGCGCCATCAAGTGACCGGACCAGCCTTGCACTGGCTCCCGGCGCCAGGACCCGTTTCACCCCCGGTGCGGCTGTCTCCCCAGGAACACTGACACTGGCACAGCCGGGCCAGTGCTGCGGCTGCAGAATAAGGAGCTGAGCCGCCACCAGGGCTGCAGTCAGTGCCTAGCTGCCAACGCACCGAGGCGGATGCCCGATGCTAACGGCTGCCCGGCGAGCATCGCTCAAGCAGGGACACAGCGGGCTTGAAGCTGACCAGGGAGGGAACATGGGGCCGGCCACACGTGCGGATGGAGAGCAGCACCCAGCAGAATCCAGTCGCCCCAGGACCAGTGTAACACTCTGGGGGACAGAGTAGCTGCCACCGCATCCCCGCTGCAGGCTCAGCCAAGGTGGCCAGCACCAGATTAATCAGCTGTACGGTCTGCGGCCGGACAGACGCCTTTGGCAGCTGCTTGCACACGAGGTCGAGATGGCTGCACCGCAGGAAAAGCCTGAAACCCTCAACGTTCTTATGTTCTAACTATGGCACCTGCCTGTACCTCCTGCAGCTCCCGGTCAGAGCCCTCCCAATACAAACAGCCCTGGCATTGCTGTGCCCGTTGGCAACGTGCCTGGCTCCGGGAATTGTCCCCGTCTCCCTCCGCCCCACGGGGGGGTTCTCTGGCACGGAGCCGCCCAGCCTGCCAGCCACCAGAGGAATGCGCAACAAAGCTCCTCGGCATTTGTCCCTCCTGTAGCACCCACCTCGCAAGGGACACCAGCGGCCTGGTTTCGGTGGAGCTGCAGAGGAAGCAGCCAGAAGAGCGCCAAGCGCCACGATGCAGGAGAAGGGGCTAAAAGTGATGGAGCACAGCTCCCTCAGAATACATCTCCCAGACAGCGCTCAGGGCAAGAAGCCAGAGCGAAGGAAATCCCGGGGCACTGCCCCGCTCGGGGACCAGAGCTGAACGTGGACACGCAGGGTCAGCTTCAGAAGAGAAAAACTTCCTGTCAGGGGGGTGAAACCCTGGAATAAGTGGCCTAGAGAGGCTGTGGAATCTCCATCCCTGGAGATATTGAAGAGCAGGTTGGACAGACGCCTGTCAGGGATGGTCTAGACTAGTGGTCCCCAATGTGGTGCCCGTGGGCGCCATGGCGCCCACCGGGGCATTTATGTACGCCTGCCAAGTGATCTGGGCTGGCCCGGCCCCGGGTGCGTGGCACATGTGTGGTGCCGGCCCCAGGTACTGGCGCATGCACAGCCCCACCCCGATGCCCGGCGTGTGAGCGGCTCCACCCCCAGGCTCCCGGCAGCCCTGAAAGGTTGGGGACCACTGATCTAGGCGGCGCTTGGTCCTGCCGCGAGAGCAGGCGACAGGATCCGATGACCCCCCGAGGTCCCTTCCGGTTCTAGGGTTCTGTGATTCTATCTGTCCTCCTTAGCATGCCAAAAACCGAGCTTCCGTGCTGAGCACTTCAGAGCAAGCGTTGTCTGTTACTCCAACTTCTAGGGCTGTGGAGCCTCCCTGCAGGGCAGGACGGGGGAACCTTCGTTGGGTCCGGGGCCGCTGACAGAAAAATCAGTCGGGGCCACAAAACAAAAATCTCCCAGAGGTGGCCCCTGGCTGAGGAGGAGAAAGACCCTCCCCCCTTCCCCTCACACACAGAGCCCAGGAAGCCCAGGTTAGTAGACTGTGGGCGCTCCAGCTCTGCAGGGGGCAGTGGGGAGCGGGGACTGGAGCACCAGCGTACGCGCCCCAATATTGGGTGGAGGAAGCCCTGAGCCTCGGAGGCCAGATCCAACCAAGCCGGGGGTCGAATCCGGCCTCTGGGTTCTCCACCCCCGATTTAGGGTTACTGGGCGCTTCTGTGCGATACATCTTTTAAAAAACAGACTTTTTTCCGTCAGACAAGCCACCAGTTGGCTCTTCGGCTGGATTGTGACTAGCCCCAGAAGTGCCCGTCTGCTGCTCGCCAGGGGTCTTGGGAATCCTGCTGCTCTTTGGAAATCGGCTTGTAAAGCAAGAGGACAGAAACCGTGGTACCACGCGAGAACTTGGAACTGGGCTATAAAACCAATCAGTTCCCGAAACAGTGAAATAACTTTCCCTAAGGTGCTTCACCTGCACGGGCGGCTGCACGTCTAGCTAGTAAAGCTGTTTTCCCAACCAGGCGCAGGCCCAGTTCTGCACGGCTTACTAACCCGAGTGACTTTTCCTCGGAGAAGTAGCCCGTCCATTTCACTGAGACTAACCGCGGCAGCTCGCGGCTGAGTGAGGGGAATGCTCAGCTGAAGGGTGGTTGCAGGACTGGGCCAAAGTTTTGCAAACTGCTTTAGCAATTTACACTTGGCACTACATAGTTGGGATTGGTCCTGCCTAGAGCAGAGGGCTGGACTTGATGACCTTCTGAGGTCTCTTCCAGTTCTATGGTTCTATGATTCTAGGGCCTCAAAGCCCTCGGCCATTACACGAGAGTCTGTCCCAAGATAGAACAAAAAGACAGCGTTTGCCCCAACCTACGTAATGTCTTCAGCAATACTATGAACACTTTAGAGCACAACTAAGATTTTTGGTGCTCCCTGACAACTTTCTGGCCTGCCTTTCCTCCTTTAACCCACCACCATGGGGAGCATCCCATATTTCAGCAAGATGATTAGAAGACCAAGAACAGAATCTCAAAACACATCTACGGCCTTACAAGTTGTATCTTGAAAACAGATTGTGTCTCAGTGTAACCGGCTGTCATTTCTCATTTTCCTGTACTTGTCAACACAAACTGCCCAATACACAGAGCCTATGAG